GAGCAGAAAAAAAACATTATTTTAAAATAAGTGAGTAAACTCGCCAACAATTGAAAATACTAGCTACACTAGAGGTAATTACTGGAGGTATTACTAGAGGTAATAATATGGGCCAAATCCTTATGGAAGAAAAAGAGTACTTGATTTTGAAGTTTCTTTTCTTCTTTGGATCTGAATTGGTTTTTGGCTCAAAAAATAGCAGGGTAGGGTAAATGGAGTTCTACTCTCTAACACACTTCTATTATATTCCTATGAAAAATAGGAAAGGTTTTCACAGATACAATGTGAAATAGAGCAGCCCAGATAAAATTTCTTTTTAAACTAATCTTCCCTTTTTCAGAGCAATACAGAAGAATGTCTAGTGGTAGTTTGACTAAAACTGCAACTCTTACCAGCTTATTTCCTTTTGGTATGTGAGTGAGTCCTTAGCATATATTACTTTTAAATACAGGCTTCTTGGGATTTATTACTTTGTAATGAAATATCCTGGATTCCATATGCACACCTTACTAGGTTGTTCTTCCTTCTGTATTTTTTTCCTTTTCAAGTTGTCCAGAGGGTAGAACCCAACAACAGGCTTACCAACCCAATGGTCTGTAGTAGGTTGGTGCTCTTTGGCACTTTCTCTTCACTGAAAGAAGAAAGGCTTTTTCTTTTTCTTAGCAATGAGTTATTAAATTGATTTCTAAGTCCTTAATTTTCTGTTGTTTTTGCATCTACCAAGATGGATGATGCTCATACAGAAAGAGGTAGCTGGGAATAGAGTTTACTGACCCAGATATTTGCCTTTAGTACAGCATGTCTTTTAGTGCAGTAGCATCTGTATCCCATTTTAACAGGGTTCAGCCAATGTCCTCAGTGTGTTCCTTATCAGTTCTCTGCAGAGATTCACCCACCAAGGTACTTGTAAGTTGCACTGGCAGGTTGTGACATACATTAATGATTCTTGGAGTTGACCACATCGGAAACATAAAATTCTTACCTGTTAATTCAGGGGAAAGAAAATACCAGAACAAGAGATCTCCAGCAAAACAGATAGGTTTTTTAAGACCTAAAGACACTGCACATTTATAAGTGTAAATTCTGCGTAAGTACTTTAGGATGCATCTGCATTTCCTCTTCCCTCTTGCTACAGAAATTAAATGTTGCTATATGTATTTTAAACCTTCCATGCTTGCAAAAAAATGTATTTTATCAACCCATCAATATCTGGTACCAGGTAAAAAAATCTCTCAGTGTCAAGGAATAACAGTGAGGGGCATCTGTGCTGAAGGAGAGGTGGATGCCACCCAGCCAGCTGCTATGGATAGATAGCTCAAACAGCCCTGTGTCTGCAGATATCTATAGTGTAAAGTGGTTGATATGTTCTCAGATTTTGTGCTGTGTTCTGCTTTTCAGCCCAGGCTCCAGCCAGACTGTTTATTTGGAGTTGGTTCTGTGTTCTCACTGACAGCCTCACACAATAGGGTTACCTTCAGTTACTCCTACTTACTATCTGCCTGGACAAAAGTTCAGTTGCCTTAAACAAGAATGCCTCTGCCACAGACAGCAAGCAGCTATGGGTAGTGACAGTAAAGCTAAACCATAAGAAGAGGCTGGACATATTTGTTTACTGCCTTTGTGAGTGCAGAAAATACAGAAGTCCACAGTGCCAGCTGGGTCTTTGGGGTCCTAAACTCTGAGCATTTTGAAATGAAGTTAGCATTTGGCTGAGAGCCAGCTGAACATGAGCAGTTTGCCTAGGTGGCCAGTAAGGTCAATGCCATCCTGCTTATATCAGCAACAGTGTGGCCAGCAGGACCAAGGCAGTGACCATGCCCCTGTGCTCAGTCTGAGATGAGTCACTCCCTGAGGCCTCGCTTGAGCCCTGTGTTTGGTTTTGGGTCAGCAGCTGTGTTAGGGAAGGTTCAGGTTGAATATTAGAAGAAGGTTCTTCACTGAGAGGGTGTTTGGGCACTGGAACAGGCTCCCCAGAGAAGTGGTCCCAGTACTAAACCTGACACATTTGGACAGTACCCTCAGGTACACGGTGTGACTCGTGGGGTATCCTATGCAAGGCCAGGAGTTATACTGAATGATTCTTGTGAATTCCTTCCAACTCAGCATATTTGGTGTTTCTGTGTTAACGTGAGGTGCTGAGTCATGTCCAGACAAGGGCAGCAGACCTGGGGAAGAGTCTGGAGCATAAATCTGATCAGGATCAGCTGGGGGAGCTGAAGGTGTTCAGCCTGGAGCAAAGGAGCCTTATCACTCTTTAGAACTGCCTAAAAGATGGTTGTGGTGAGGCAGGGATCCATTTCTTCTTCCAAGTAAGAGGTGGGAGATGCAGGGCTGGATTGGATATTAGGAAACAAATCTTCACTGAAGGGCTTGTCAAGCATTGGACCAGGCTGTCCAGGGAAGTGGTTGAGTCACCATTACTGGAGGTATTTAAAAGATGAGTTGATGTGGCACATGGTTTAGCAGTGGACTTGGGAGTGCTGTGTTAATATAGATGATCTTAGACATCTTTTCCAAACTAAAAAAATCCTATGATTATGTGATTGTATGAAATAACATATTTTTCCTTGGCTGTGTCTGAAATTCTAGTTCAGTACCAGACATGACCCCAAAATTATAATTCTAGTGTGAGTCTGAGCAATTTTTCAATTTCCATATTTTTTCCCAATTATTTCTCTTCTTTATTTTACTGCTTGAATTATGCTAGGTCTCTTAAAAAAAAATAAAGCAATAGTTGATGTGGAAGGACAGCCTTTTTATTCTAATGTAACTAATTTACATAGTTCCATTTTATTTTTAATAAAACAACACTTGATTTTCCTGATGGGTTTATTTTTCTGATGCATGCAGAGAAATGGGTTGAAAAAGAAAGTGAAAGTTTAAGGTTATATGTGGTCCAATGTCAGAAAAGTACTTTCTCTAATTTTCCTGTGGTGATAAGCTGTTCAGTGCTTGCAATTTATATGATTGCTTTTTATTAAGCTGGGAGTTGACCGATCATGTATGTGTTTAGTTTGAGATGTTGTTTGTTCCTCCTCCAAACTCTGTTGTCCATTATATACAGTCCCCAGTGTGCAGACTGCCTCTCCTGAGGCATAAAGACAGAGAAGGACATTTTGCCATTTCGTGCTACCTCCAAGTTTGTCGTCTGTGGCAAGGGAAGCACGTCATGACCATGTATTGCAGAGGGTCTGATCTCATCAGCTCACATACTGATTGTTTTGAGACGAGACATACATAGAAATGTGTATTTCTATTCACATTACCTGTGGGCAGACTGCCTGCATTGCTAGGAAGGCTTCATTGTTAGTCATCATGGAAATAGAAAAAAATGGATTATAATGAAACATTTCTTTACAAAAATGTGATCAAACCCTGAAACAGACTCCTAGAGAGGTAGTTGATGTTCCAGTGTTTAAGAGGAATTTGGACAATGCCCTTAGTACTGTGCTTTAACTTTCGGCCAGCCCTCATCAGGCAGTTGAACTAGATCATTGTTGAGGGTCACTTCCAACTGAAATAATCTATTCTGTTACTGTTCTATTTCTATTCTATTCTATTCCATTCTGAAGCTGTGGTGTGGATGTAGACATCAAGTAGTTTGCCAGAAACATCTGTATATTCCAGAGAGAGAGAGAAAACACTTTATTAAAGTACCGTTTATGCTTTGTATCGAGAGTACTGTGAAGGATCAAATCAAGTCTTACTTGGAAATAGTGTACTTTAGCTGGGGAGGTTGCCTAACATAAGTAATGTCTTACATCACCTAACTCAGTTGACTAATTGAGCTAAGCCAGTTTCCTACTTCTTTATCCAGTTTGCTTTTTAGCCTCTAAGATGCTGTTCTACTATCACTAATACCAAAGCTTCTGAAACTCCTGGAGCTCTAGAATCAAATGAAGGGCTGAACTGGATTTCCTGGGATACACTTTACAGCACTTTTCAGTTGTCAGACTGAAGGTTATCACTGGAGTTTTGCCTTGTACTTCAGACCTTTTATCTCTCCTTCTTCTGTGATGGTAGACAGTCCTTGGTGCCCTGGTGTTTGCTCAATATCAGTATCAGATGCTGCTGTAGTTCAGTGCTGTATGAGTAGGAATCTAGGAACATTGAAACAACAGATGTTACTCAACATGAATGTAAAAATCGCTTATGTAATTCCTAATTAAAGGTGTCACTTATTCTAAAAAAAAAAAAAAAAAAAGGCAGTCCATACTGACAAAAGAAAAAACAGGCAACAAGTGCTCTGATCAAAATTATGGCATAGTTTTCATGAGTAAAAGCACAAGTAAAAAGCTGAAATCTATGTTGCTTTATAAGAAGCAGAGGTTCAAAAAAAGCTATTGCTATGGCAACAAAAGGAGCAAGGGGATTTACACTTCTGTATGTATCAGCACAGTCTTAACCAAGAGTGACTCTGGCTAGAAAGAACAGCTGCGTATTCATCCTCATAATTTATGAATTGTGTATTTAACCTCACTGCCTCAGAGCCTATAACTTAGAGTAGTAGGGCATTGACCATACATGGCTGAAGATGTTCCTGGACCTGTAGAAGCATAATTCTTAGATTGTTTATCAAAGTCTCTCCTATATAGAATCTTAAAATTGAATAGGTTTCTAATATCACTTGAAAATATTTATTCTATGCTATTTGCCTTCAGTTAAGTCCACACTCATAATACACCTAAATCTTTCTCGTAATCTGTTGAGAACATTACGTCTAATGTTACTCTAATACTGTAATTTCACCCTGTAAGTGTCACTGAATGCCTTTTTTCCATATGAAGATTAATACAATTTCTCTCTTACTAATTTTTATGTCACAAAATATACTGTATGTTAATCCTATTTAATAAGCTTCTCATAAAGCAAATAAAGTAATATTATCTCATAGACATCAGGACATATTAAGATTCAAGTCACACTGCCCTGATTTAAGTTGCTTTTTTTTTTTTTAATTACCTGGGTTTCAATAATGGCATTTTCTATTAATATTGCAGATCACAGTTTTTCGAATGGGATCAGAAGGACACCAGGATATTGATTTAGCTATCCTGACAGCACTACTAAAAGGTAACAGAGTTGAGTGAGTCTATATCAATTCATTTTGTGTCTCTGATGTCCTGAAACCCGCATTTATTGACATATCTATCAAGATGATAAATTTATACTGTGAAACTGAAGTATGCTTCTTGCTCTAACTGCTTTATACAAATCCAGCTCTTCTTTAATGTTTAAACAGCTACTGTTTTTCCTTTCTGAATTTTTGTTCTCCACAACTACTGATGCGTCACAAGAAATATCAGTGGTGACCCCTCACACCAGTTACTTGAGAAGCTTAGTATTCACAAGAAGACAGCCAAAGGACTCCTCACACTTAGATTACCTTGGAAGCTAAAACATCCTTTTAGACAAAGCTGGCTCTATTGTCAAAGTAAGATGTTATCTGTAGTCATCCCTAGGAAGGTCTGGAAGTAGTGTGAGGTTCCTTTCATCCTCCACTTGTAAAGTTAAGAACATAGCTATTGGGATGGTTGGGCTTTTAATCGTATACTTGGCTGGTTGTTACATCTTTCTAAGCCATTACATGTTACACTTCTGGTCTTAAAATGTTGACTTGAAATAAATTTGCTGTTGCCACAGTTCGTTGCAGACCCTGGACTACATTGATTAATAAATTAATTCAAAACAAGAATCAAGAATTTCATCCATCGCCAAATCTCTTCTTTTTGTCCCTTGGAAATAATATAATTGCAGGTTTCATTTTTATCTCAAATGTAACTGGATCCTTCATTATCTTTAGTGTGAAGGTATTCTCTTCATATTTGTTCTTAAGACAATCCTGAAAGTACTGCTCTTGTTTTTTATTGATAAGGCAAAGAATGTCTTAGAGTTGTGATTCCACTTTTTCTAAATGTGTTTTCAAGGTCTGTATCCCAGCATATGGAAAACTGTCTCTTGGAAGCTGAAGAAAATAAGTCACATGCCTGTGAGGGATTGTTTTCTATTTGAAATGTTCTTTTGCAGTATTTACATGAGCAACTGTTTTTGTGGTTGCAGTCTCAGTATATGAGCAGTGCCCCCTCGTCTGGAATATCCATTTTGAAAGTACTTAATTACCGCTGTTGGCCCCTTAGTAAATAAAATTTCCTTTCCTCTTCATGTTAAGGGTGAAAGTCATCATAGAAACTTATATTAGCTCAGGAGGTGCCTAGATCTGTGTAAGTACTTTCGACATCTCCTTTCATGCTTGTCTGAGAACCTTGATTTGAAAATCTGCTGATGGCAGTAACATTTGTTTCTTGCACAAGAAAGAGCTGGAGGAACTAAGACTTACACCTGCTCCTCAGGACTTTCTGATTATGAAGGTATTCAATGAAGATTAGTTTCATCAGGCGTCTCTGGTTCATGTAAGCTTCATGATCACAAGGTGTTTAATCAATATGTGCAAAAATGAGATCTGTTGTGTCAGCCAAGTCAGTTGTCCTTATTCACAGTATGTCTTTGTACAAAGTATTCTGGCCCACCTGGAAAGAAATACTTATTTTCAGTAAATATACCTCACTAGCCTGATGGATACTGTCATCAAAGTCTAAGGCAGCAATGCTGAACCACTTGTCTGTTGCTTTTTAATAAGTAATTTATTTGTAATAGGTAAAATAAATGGAAATTGTTTTTTCGTGCTGTTGGAATTTTCACAGCATTGAAATTTTCATAGCATTGGAGTGTCCACGGCATTGGAAACTTACTTCCTACAGTTTATTGTCTCTAAAATTAAAGAAAAATAATAATTGTAATATGTAAATAAGATATTTGAAGACTGAGTCTGAGTTATCTTGACATTCGTAAATTTAAAATTTAAGAATTCATCTCTTCCTACTTTGAAATACTGTGTAAAAAAAGGAGCAGAGCAATGTATGAAACTAGTGAGTGATTGCCAGTAACTTTTTCTCAGTCTTCCTGATGAGGAATTTGCAGCTTTTGGTAGTGCAAGAGGAGCAGATCAGCTAATGACCCATCCCACCCTTGTGTGAGTGATTCGGTCACAGAGGAGTGGGACAAGGGTTTGGAAACACAAGGTATCATTTCCTATTTGCTGTGCAAAATTTGTGATGAGCTAATCTCTTTTTTAAAACCGCACCAGACACACTGCCAATTTGGGAGTTCTCCTGGACAGCATATTCCACAAGTCCCAAACCCAGCACCACATAGTATTTCTTTGTTTGTTTTCATAAGTTGCTTGTTTAATCTTGTCAGAAAGATCTATCTTTCTTGGAAGTGATCTTCAATAAACCACAGAATGGCATCCAAACTGGTTATCAATTTACATTGCATGGATGTCACAACAGCATATGGTTTGCAAATTTGCAAATTCTTTTTTTTTTTTTAATCCTGAGAGACACAAATGTGGGAAGTAAGTTTCCAAAGGCATGAGTTTATAGCAGGCAAGTTTATCAATACAGTTTAACTGTTTATGCTCTCTTAACCTGAGCAGTTGGAACTCACACCATAATGGATTTTGTCCTTTTGCAGCTGCTAGCAAAGCAGAAGGCATATGACAGGGAAATTAAAGACAGCATATGGAGATGGTCTAAAAAAATGCTTGTTTTGAAGTGGCTTCAAAGATCCTAGTTCACGAAGCTGTTGCAATGACTGGAGCAGACGAGTGCCAGCCATGTTTCAGATGGTGCTCCAGAAGCCTCCCCAGTGCAACTGTCAGCACTGGGAAAGAGCTGCTGTGTGGTAGGTGCATACAGTGATATTGCTTGTACCTGCTGGGATAAACCATGTTAGGCTGAAGCGGAGCTGAAGTTCTGCTTACTTTCCAGCCTGTGAGTAAGTCATGATTCATGCTCACTGAATAGCCATCATGTAGTATCAGATGGTCAAGGATAGTCTGCCAACCATGAAATCACAGACACAAAAAGGTTGCAGAGTTAGGTCAGCTATCTGGTTACTGTACTTGTAGGTGTTTTTGCTATCTGCTTTTATACTGTCAATTGGTTTCCTAATTGCCAGGATGATTCTGTAGCTAATGCTGTGGAAACGCAGTCTTTGCACTGAAGAGCTGCTGAAATAGGAGACAGCATTGGACTTGCAGAGACACAGACTAGAAAGTTAATTTGGTTTTTGATTTTCTCTAATCTAGTTATTTTCTTTAGATGTTGATCCAAAGAGTACACTGACATGCTTAGTGTACTGCGGAAATGGATATCCCACAACCATTTCTGTCTAGGTAGATGTTTCATGTCATTTCATCTTTCCAGATACCTGAGCACCAATATCATAGGCTATTCCAGGAGAATCCTTTAGGGGCCCATGTTGGTCACAGTAAGCTTCAACCAGTACATAAAAACCTGTAGTAATAAGTATATTAAAGCTCTTCAGTAATCCTGCAAGTGCACAACACTCGTTGTCTGATGTGTACCCCGGCTCCCCGAGGAGACAGCATTGAGTTTATAGTCCCAGGCTGTATCATCAAGGAGTATTACATTTTCAGTCCAAAATATTGAGTAGACAATATGACTTTTTACCAAAACAGTCTATGCAAGCACTGCTGGATGGCAGCCTAACATAAAATTAACATCTGCAGGAACTAACAGGTGTCCCAGCAGTCTATCTATATCCAGTGGTATCTATACCAAGATAAAATACTGCCAAAACCATGTATTTCATCCCAACTGCAACTTTTCTTCTAGGAACAGATGAAAGGAAGGGTCACACTGCAGATGTTGTCATAGTCTCAAAACATTATTTTGAGGAACATAGCTTACAATCAGCCAGATACCAGAATACTGAGTAAATATTACAGAGACATTAGTGATACTACCCAAAACATTATTTAATGTAATAAGTATGATATGGTAATTAAAATAATACAATGCAAGAGGTTATTAACTCTACCTTATTTATTTCTCCAATATCCTTTGATTTGGGCACATTACAGTGACACTAGAGTGACAGGCATCCCCAGAGAGATCACATTTTGGATTCTTCCTACTGACTCAAGTCCAAGTTCTATGGCACTGAATGCAGTCAAGGAAATAATTGAAAGGAGACTGTATTTTAAGAAGGCCATCTCATGATTTTCCTTGGGAGGTTTTCTTATATGAGTGGAACTATTCATATTTCTTCATCATGGGTAGAATTCCACCTAAAATAGCCTGAATACTTCCTTTTTCATGTGAGACAAAGGCTATCAGTTCCACCCTAGAATAAAATCAATTAAAAGGCATCCACAGCTCATATGCTGCTCTCTACAAACATTTATAGCTTTAGTTTTCCTTCTCCTCTTAAGTAACATCAGTATTACCCATGTTCGTCTGAAAACCCCTCGGGGAAGATGGGAAAGGGCTTTCCAGCAAGAAACTGTGCTGTGGAAGCACCCATCCAACCAAATGCACCAGAGCCCCAGGATGCACATCCATAATCTACCCGCTAGCTGATAGACTGGTTCAGACCTGGAGTACAACATCCCCTTGAGAAGCCACAACTGCCAGATACCTGCTGTGCTCCGTGAGACAATGAAATCGAACATCATGGCAACAAGCACTGAGAAGGGCATCAATTCTGGGACTGCACATGTTCCAACAGGAAAATTTGGCTGCTTAAGGCTGGCAGCCTTAAGCACAGTGAAGGGAGGTCGGAAGGACACAGGCTAGACCATGGCTTGCTTTCCCCTCTGCTCAGTATTTGGAGCAATGAGCATGCTCACAGAAAACAATTTTGGTGAATGGATGAGCAGGTACCACCTCATGCTCCAAGCCAGCTGTTCCTTCCTGTGATCAAATGCAACAGAAGACCTTCTATTCGTCTGCCAGCTGAATCTTTTCTAAAGCATTTAGAGGGCCAGGTCTGCTAGGGTCATCAAACTGGAGAACACTCCCTGCTAGGGCTCAGAGGTTACTGACCTGGAGCCTAGCTTGACTTCTGCCTGAAGCGGAGGCAGTGTAAACAGCCCACTTTCCTCCTTAAGTTTGTCTGATCCACTCTTGATTCA